ATAAATTTATGTTTACCGCATAAAAACGAAGTCAGCGATCTTTATTGAGATCATTCATATTAAAATGATAGAAAACGTGAGTAAATGCTTATAGTGGTTTTATTTGGACAAATGTACTTACTCGAATATTTCATATATATAATGGCACTATAAATAAGCATCAATGTATTCACCTGCGGTGCACAAGGATAGGAGAAAGATGTGTAAAAATAAAAATAAAAGGAGATCGAAAAGAATGGCCCCATCGTAGATGCTTTTGAATTAATTATTTGATACCGTCCCATATGAATAATTCACGTTTCAGCGGGTAGGATGAGACGGAAGTAACCTTCACGAGAAGCAAAAGCCGGAAAATGGAATTGCTTTTTGATTTATCGTCAGCACCAGAAAAGCAAAATGTATACTTTTTCAATTTTTTCGCAAAAACTTATGTATATGCAATATTTCTCTATATGTGCATTTTTTATAAATATAACTATATGCTTTTTTTACATAAATTGATATAATTGGTTATTCTGCATATAAAAATATTTAAGCCAAGTCAATAAAAGAAATATAACAAACATGATAAATAAAACAAACATGATTTATATACTTATTATTATTTTCTCCTAATATAACGTATGAATTTATTTTATAAAATATTTATGTTTTGAATTTTATCATTTCCTTTTCTTTCTTTCTGATTTCATATATAATTTATCGATAGTTAATAACTTGAAAATAAAAGAACATCCCCTATCTAATTATATCATATATATTGTCAATCATAATTTAATTTTGTAATAAATGTGTGTCACAGCACAACATTAATTGTAGATTTCGTGAAACAACTTATATTATGCGCATTCTCTGCTACGTGACATTTGAAAATAATAGCTTAAAATAGAACTTTTTCAGAGACAAATGTTTTATTTATCTAATAACATTATAAACATACAGGTAACCAAATGGAAAAAAGATTACCTACTTTTGTGATTGTTTGATCTAATTATTTTTTCCTTGCCGTTCTTTAATTACAAATTTATATCACAATTTATTTTTGCTTCAACTTATTAATGAGGCATTTATGTGCCTCACACTTTTAAAAATTTTATTAGGACATAATACTGAAATAAAAAAATTGGAATATGATAAATTATTTTTGTCTTTATCTGGACCGCTATCCTGACATTGTATCGTTTTTATTATCGTTCTGCAATTTTTCTATCATATATTATACCTGCGTAAAGATGATATAACGATACTGTCGTTAAGAGTTACGGAATAAATCTATTGAAACGTAAAAGTTAGAATCAGAAATTAGAATCAGAAAGACACGATAGAACTGCAAGCATGTTACTATAGGAGACTGAAAAATTATCCGTCTATCCGTCATGAAATTACGTTGTTTGAAAAGAGATTAGAAAATTGGAAAACTCGACTTTTTCTCTATCTCGATGTTTGTTATAATTACAAATTTTTATATTACAATTAATATTTGTTTTAATTTGTTAGTGAGGCAAGTAGTGCAATGCCTCACACTTTTAAAAAGTAATTATCGAAAACACTTCAGAGAATACATATTATTGACTACATAATTAATTACGTAATAATTAACCTAAACTTACATAATTAATTAGTAATTCTAAGTACTTAACTAAGCATTTATGTTTCTATTTCCATCAGTTATATATAAATAACTGTGCATATTTTTATATACGAGAAATTGTTTATGTCTAATTCCATCTACAGTGAAAGTAATATATTACTGAGAGAAAAACAAACGAAAAATATACAGGGTGTCCGGCATCGGTCATATCATCTCTCGTGTGTAGGTAGAGCTGGTAAAACTGAATAGAAAAGTCCTGTATCATTTTGCAATTTTACGTATATTTTACGTTTGTTTTTCTCTCAATATATTACTTTCACTGTAGATGGAATTAGACATAAACAATTTCTCGTATATAAAAATATGCACAGTTATTTATATATAAAACTGATGGAAATAGAAACATAAATGCTATTAGTTAAGTACTTAGAATTACTAATTAATTATGTAAGTTTAGGTTAATTATTACGTAATTAATTATGTAGTCAATAATATGTATTCTCTGAAGTGTTTTCGATAATTACTTTTTAAAAGTGTGAGGCATTGCACTACTTGCCTCACTAACAAATTAAAACAAATATTAATTGTAATATAAAGATTTGTAATTATAACAAACATCGAGATAGAGAAAAAGTCGAGTTCTCTAATTTTCTAATCTCTTTTAACAACGTAATTTCGTGGTACTTATAGACGGATAATTTTTCAGTCTGCTGTAGTAACATGCTTGCAGTTCTATCGTGTCTTTCTGATTCTAATTAACTTTTACGCTTCAATAGGTTTATTCCGTTTAACTCTTAACGACAGTATCGTTACATCATCTTTACGCAGGTATAATATATGATAGAAAAATTGCAGAACGATAATAACGATACAATATCAGGATAGCGGTCCAGATAAAGTTAGACAAAAATAATTTATCATATTCCAATTCTTTTTATTTTAGTATTATGTCCTAGTAAAATTTCTACTCACTTTTCTAGTCAGTTTTATCGGCCTCTACCTACACACGAGAGATGATATGACCGATGCCGGACACCCTGTATATGTAAATAGAAATATAAACATGAGATATCTTCATATTTCATGTTGCAATATGTATATTGCCTTGTACACTGTAACAAAATAAAATAATTTGTAAAACATTTTTAAATCGTTTCATTTAAATATTTGTTACATTTTAGAATAAACATTTTATCCAGAACTGCATTTTTAACTAAAAATTAAGGATGATGAGCGCTCTTTATTAAATTTTTTTAATAAATCATGAATAATTTGTATTTTTGAATGCAATAAATTATTTATGTTTATAATTCTATCTAAAGTGTCAAAATTGATTACAAGACAATTAATAGAAGTGCAAGTAATTAGTATAGCCGAATAGAAGAATGTCTATCTGTAAGTATTTATCATGAAATTATGCGGTTAAAACAAAAAGATTAATAAATTAAAGAAGTCGAGTTTATCTGCATCGTAATGTTACTCGTAATGTTACAATTATAAACTTATATTATAATTTTTTTTCAACTTATGAAGTGTAATACCCACACTTTCAAAAATTGACTGGAAAGCAAATTTTATGTTTACATAAACTAGTAGCATGTTTCTATTTCCATCAATTATAAGTAATTGTGTATACTTTTATGTAGCAGAAATTATTTATGTCTAACTGCATATAAAGTGTGAAATAGACCAGAGAAAAATGAATATGCGAAATAAACGCATACATAAACAGAAATATAAACACGAGATAATGTCAGATCATGTCAAAATATGTACACAGCTGTGTATACTGTAACAGAATAAAATAATTTATAAAACATTTTTAAATAGTTTTATTTAAATATTTTTATTATATTTTAGAATGAAATTTTATCCATCCGAATCACATTTCGAAAAATTAAAAATGATGCTTTGCTCTTTATTAAAGTTCTTCTGTAATTCCGTAAATAAGAAATTTGAATTTTTCTGAATTTACTTATGTCCAATTCTATCTAAAGTATAAAAGTAATTAGACTCAGAAAGATTAATAAAACTGCAAACATAATAATGTAATCAAACAAAGAAATATACAATTTGTATCACGAAACTATACAGTTAAGAAAATAAGCTCAAAAAATAAGAATTGAGTTTGCTTTTATCATCACGATATTAATAAATTATAAATCTCTACTAAAATCAAATCTTTTTCAATTTGTAAGGCGTAAAAAATGCAATGTTTCTCACAAATATTGGTTGTCTGATTGGACAGGTAACATTTATAACATTTATAATTTTATTATAATATTAATTATAACGTTTATACTTCTGTCTCCATGAATTATAAATAACCGTTTATATTTGTTTTGTGTATGAGAAATTAGTTATATCTAATTTCTGGAGCATGAAAATAGATATATCGAGAGAAATATTTTCGAGAAATACGAGAATGTAAAATGAAATAAAAATATGTAAAATATGTAGAAGTATGAATACTTTACAATATCTCTTCGGATTTTGTCATATATTTATTCAATATGTTTTTTTATTTGTATTAACTTTTACATTCTAGATGAAAACATACATAATTTCTCATATTCAAACATACTTACAATTATTTATTATCGTATATTGATAAAAAAATATCTATTTCAAATAATTTTTGGAAGTGATTTGCATAGTTTTTTCTATAGGCTCAATCCTATCAATAAGTCGAAATAAATATAAATTGTAATATAAACTTATGTAACATCGCGAAAATAAATCGAATGAAATATAGTTTTTACTTTTTTCTTTTTTTACGCAATTTCGTGATACTTAAGATATTTTTTGTTTGATTACATTAAAATGTTCTATTGTTATTAAGTAATTGTATTTCATTAATTGTGAAACAATTATTTTTAATTAACATAAACAGAATTAATATATTTTACATTTATATAAATGCTTTAAAGAATATCTTTGTTTTGCAATAAGGCTAAAATAATAATAAAGTCAAATATTTAATGTAAAATTTTTAGTTTTAAAATATGTTTTATTATTAATAAAATTAATTAATTTGTGTTAAATTGTAAATGGTCGCAAGAAAATATCGATATAAATTATTTTTTCATGCATTTTTTTATTGTAAATATATTCACAAAAACTTAACTTGACTTGAGAGAAAAGCGGAGGAAGATATAATAATTTACACACCGACATTGAATTTTAATTATTGAACACAGACAAATTTAGCATACTAAAATGTATAAGAATTATTTTTAAATGTGAATATATAAAATACTAATATATGAATTATATTATATTAAAAAAATATATGATATTATATTATATCTCAAATAAATATATTATCTCTGAGAGAAAGAGATAAAGAGTTATTAAGAATTGAAGATTTAATTGTGATTTAATTTCTGCGATTTTATTTCTGTTTCAGGATATTTCGGCAAATATTTGAATAAATACAACGGTTCGTATATACCTCCGGGATGGCGAGAATGGGGAGGCCTCATAATGAATTCTCGCTACTACAACTACAGCGTCAACATGAACGGGAAGAAGATAAAGCACGGCTTCGACTACAGACGGGATTATTATCCAGATCTGATAGCCAACGACAGTGTGGCTTTCCTTAGGCAGAGCAAACACAATTTCGCCCGGAAACCGGTGATGTTGGTCGCGAGTTTTCCGGCGCCGCACGGCCCGGAGGATTCGGCACCGCAATTCTCGCATCTCTTCTTTAACGTCACTACTCATCAGTAAGTATAATAAGATTTTCTAATTGTCTATTCTGATTTTTTGTGGACGCGATATATTATTCTTGGCAGCGAAAGGCACGTCAATCTGTAAGACTTTTTGGCAAACCGGTTCTCGATGCTATTTCGCTTGCTGATTAATGATAAATTCGTGGGACGATATATATATATATATATATATATATATACGTACATATGTCCGGTCGTAGACTGAATGTCGTTTCCTGAATGAGAGAGAATTTTAAATAAAAATTATGAAATGTTATGGAATCTGTTTCACGAAAATAATATTTTCATCTCGTTTCGTCATCTTTAATGTGAGAAATTGAAAACAATTTTTTATTATGTTATTATTGTCAATATTATTGGCAATTTGCACGTACAAGTATACGATAAAAATAAGCCACGTCACTTTACAATGTTCTGTACAAAATTTAATTTTTTGATCCAGAAGATTTATTTATTTAATCGTATTTTAAATAGAAAATAAATTTATGATAAAAACGTATTTATTTATTTTCAAAATGCAATTTTTCGTACAATTCATGAAAATGTAATACAAGAAGAAGAGTAAAAAAAAAATAGCTTTGCGAATAAGATCTTCTGCAAATCATGTCATGTGAGAAGAGGTATTATCATATATTACATGTATACTTTACTCTTCCTATATAATTTTTGCGAGAAGCATATTGTATAATCTTTCTGTTTTACATCTATTATTCGTCCCATTTATGCGATCTTCTGTCCATTGAGAATCACACGTCTTGGCTTTCCACTTCTTTTTCTAATTGTGCTGCGCAACGATGCTTGCACGATGAAACTAGATTTAATAACTAAAGAAGAGAAAGAGAGACGAAATCTTTGCCGCGTTACTCGCGCGATTTGATCGGATCGAATCTCCAGGAATTTAATTACCCTTGCAAAAAGATAACGATCTCGAGTCGGTCGAGAGCCAGTTCCCACGGAAAGCAACAAGGGGCAGTTTTGTATGCGGTCGACATCCGGCGTGGCGTTATTCCTTGTCGTCGATATCGCGAGTCCGGCTCGTTCACGAGGCTGCCATGACGACCGCGACTTCATTGAACCCAGTCGCGCGCGCCTATTATTTTCCGCTGTTGCAAACCGCTTCACCACTCGTCCGATAAAACGTAGAACGGCAGAGAACGCGCGCCCCGACAATAAGGATTGTGGAAAAACGAGAACGCGGGGGGCGACCTCCCCCGGCTCGACGTCGACGGGAGCCGGATCCCTACGCGCTTTCACTCCTCCCGAACAATGCGGCCCGTGTTCCGTCCGCGTCGAAGGCCGCTATATTTGCGCAGTTTATCTCCACCCGCGTGAAAATCCACATCCGGGATACACCACGGGGGGAGGGGGGAAGGGGAGAGAACGAGGGACGGAGACGCGAAGTGATATCGGCGTCAGCGCTCGTGCGCGCGGTCCTAGACGGGATAGACATCACGTCGAATGATGGAGTGCCCTAGACCACCATGAGCGCCGGCTCTTACAAACTTGTCGTACGAGACAGGTATTATTACGCTCACCTGTGTCTGCCTGCGAGAGGAGGAAAAAAGCGACACGGCGTGTCGCAGAGGCGGAGGAACAAAAGTGGAACGATAGCGAGCGCGCGAGCCGTCTCTCTTGACGAAGCTTTATTTGTCGTCGTCGTCGTCGTCGTCGTCGTCTAGACACGACGAAACGTTGATCGCGCGGAATAAGACCAGATCGATGCGCCGCTAAATGACACTTGTAATAATAATCCAAGCAGCGGAGATGATTCTAAATAATTTACAAAGCGTTTTAAAGTGTCCGAAGCGAGATCCTCTTGGTATTCCGTTTAATTAAAATTGCAGTGGTCAAACAAGAGCGCGAGGGAGTCTGTGGCGGACGATCGATTAATACATTAGAATGTATATAGATAGACTTTTAAAGCTTTAAGCGGGTCGTTATGCACCAAATTTTAATGTCCGATTTTGCACGGAATGCGGATATCGAGAAAATAGTAATATCGCGACGCGATTCTGCATTTGCCCCCTGAATGAAAAGGAACTACTTTTGGGCCGCATGCACGTTCGATGACGTCACGCGATTCATTATCGGATCTCCAAGACGCGGGGACAGAGGAAGAACTCATTGAAATTTCATCTCGTTCTGCGATAAAGGAACGGAGGTTCACTCTGGATGATTTATCGCTCGTCATTGCGAAGACGCGGGGAACTCGAGGACTTTGTCTAACAATTCGTTAATCACGAGTGTCTGGGGCGTTAATTACTTCTAAAGTGGAATATAATTCATAAGAGCACCAATAGCTTTTGATCCAAAGATATCACACATAATCTTAATATTGGTATACCGCGAAAATTATAAATATTTGTAAACATTCTGAATATTCTGAAAACTGCAAAATTAATTTAATCAAATTTTTCAGAAAGTTTTCACATTTTAAAATTCTTTTTTATCCCAAATCACATTTCTAAATTCAATATATTTTCCTTTACAAGCCCACAATGTGTGTCTGTAAAACTTTATTGTCTAGCACTGGACTCTCGATTGTGAAAATTTTCGACGGGATTGGAAGCGATTGTTTCTACGAGTGTCATTCTGACAATTCTATTTTTCCGAATGTGATTCGTAAATACTGGGAACTGCCAAGAGAAAATTTAGGGTTTATTTGTCAGAAGATGCGAAAATCGTTGTTGAGACGAGAAATGGAAAGTTACGTTTGGCATTATACACGCACGCATGATGAAAAATATTCCGGCGGAATATCGTCGCAAATACGACGCACGCGTGTTGCTTTCGCGAAATCGTTTAACTCGCCTCGACGTTGCAGATTATATTTAATTACGACGCGACATCACGGCCATTTACGTTAGAGCGCCGGCCGGCGCCGTTTTCATACCAAGGTTTTCATCCTCGTGCGCTCATACATCACGGCGTTCCCGTGTCGTGCCACTCAAAAGCTAATCGACAGAAATTAATGTGTCGAGTGGCGTGCACGGTAACGTGCTTTCAGGGCGCTTTTATCGGCGCGCCTTTAAGCAATTGCCAGCAACCGGGCGCTAATCTAATTCCCTTCCGATCAAAGGGTGTTAAGTGCATCGCGGGACAATTATTGTGAATTAATGTAATAATGGGCGTTTTATTTTAATGATACTTTAGTGGTAATAGCTTGGAGTTACGTCTATGTTTACATGATTGCAAAGTCCCAACTCGGAGCATTAAGAGTATTTTTTTGGAGGAAGAGGAAGAGGAAAGAAAAATCTTAAAAATTTCGTTTGTCAAATAATTCTTCGCTTTTCGATTCTTCAACTTTAGATATAATTTTGCGCGAGATATCATGATAGTAATTGAGACAATTATAAGCTTTAATTGTAGCTGCGAATAAATATTTTTGTTGTCGAGAATAGGTGATGATGGCATAATGAGATCCTTTTACAATTAAATAGGTGAGCATGTTAAAAAACTACACACATTTATTGTTGTGAAATTCATAACTTACTACATAACTTTTTAAGCGTTAACTCACTCGGCGCGTCGGATCCTCGAAATATCGAATAAAAATGGTTATTTATGCATATGATTATTATGCATATGCGTGTGTGTATATGCGCAGTGCGTGGGTTAAACATCGTTGCCGTTTCGTACATCAATAAAGGAAACGATCCGCGCGTTTTTACGCAACGATCACGCGTTTCTTTACGTGACTCGCTCTGGCATGATTTGTAATTTTTTTTTTCATCAATCAAGCAAAATTAAATTTCATGAAATGAAAAAAAAAAGATAAAATAACTTATTATCATAATTGTGTTAAATGAATTTATTGAAAATTATATTTTATCCAAAAATTTTCTGCTTAATAAAATTATATCTGTATGTTTACAAGAAATAATATTCAATTTTTATCAATTCTGTCTAATATATTTATTAAAAAAACGTGATTACTCTCAATGATTTTTTATTTATCTAACAGCAGCTTTGATAAAATGCACTTTTTGGTCGATAAAAACTTACAATGTGATGATTAAATATTACGAATAATTGATTCGATTATTGTTTTTATACTATAATATTCATATTTTGGGAACTTTCCAACGAGAAATATTCTCAGACACAATGTTACATAATTGGCTATCCGATAGTATACTGTATGACAAAGAAAAAAATTCAACAATTAAATGATATTTAATTTTCTGTAATGTTTCTCCGCAAATATACTTATAAAACAATTATATTTACACTAAAAAAAAAGTCGTATTACTAACTAGAAATTTCAAGATGAAGAACTGCGTATTATAAAGTTGTTACAAAAACAATAAATAAGTAATATTAGTATATTATATTATATATTATATTATATTATAAAATATGAATCATTTGCTATAAATCTATTTGAATAAACTAATGTGTTATATAACGTTGTACGTGTGTGTGTGGGGGGGGGGGAGGCGCACGCGCGCGCGCGCCTACATACATATATACATGCATACATACATACATACATACACGCATGCGTGTGTGTGTGTGTGTGTGTGTGTGTTCAACAAAATCATGTTTCCCTGATTAGGTAAACTTTCACACTCCAGATGGAATTAGACGTAAATATTTTCTCGTATATAAAAGTACAAACAGTTGCTTATAATAGACGAAAATGGATACAGATATTTATCTCTTGGTACCATTTTTTTGGGGGGTGAATTTTTGAAAGTGGGGGGTTTTGAAAATCCCCCACATAAATTGAAACAAACATATCATTAGGTAAAGGTGATAGTAAACTCAAGTTTTTCGAGATTCTTTTTTTTTTTGTTTCGTGATATCTATGGACGGAGAGTTCAAAAAATACGTATAATTATAATCAATAGAAATAAGAAGATAATGTATCTAATATATGTTAAGAGTGAATTTTTGTATATGTGTTATGAAATTTTGAAATAATTTATCTCATCAATAAGTCGAATTGAACATTACTCCAATATAGACATATAATTATAACAAATATCACCAACATAAATGGTGGAACTGAACTTCTCCATTTTTCGGACTTCTAATATTTTCCAAACTTCTATAGTTTCTTCAATCAATAGCCTATCATGTGATATTGTATCTGAGAATGTTTCTTGTCGGGAAGTTCTTTTTATTTCTACTTTTAATTTATCGAGCATAAATAATACATTTCTTATACCAATAAAAAAGAAGATTACGCGAAAACGAACGAGGAGAGCAATTTCATTCGTCTAGATATAAATATAATTCGTGGTGTCTCGCAGACGAGTTAAGTGACTATGAAGTGAAACGAACAGAATGCAGAATAAATCGCACTTAAGAAACTCGAAACGAAATAAATGGACTATACATATTTCGAAAAAGCGTTTTGATTTGAGACTGATGCTCGTGTTCACCTTTTTCTTTTTCATTGTAAACTTTTGATCAACAAAGATATAGTACTATGTATACATATTTATTTAGATCTTATTAGAGAGCCGTTATAAATTATTATTATTATTATCATATTTATATAATTTATGTAGTTCAAAAAATCTTTTCAGTATTTCTCAGTATCATCCAAATTTATGATTACTGATCATTTGACGCAGTCGTATCGCATGTTTTGTCTTTCAGTCTGTTTAAAGTACAGAGAATACTAGCGAGCAGATAAGAGATGATCAAAAAATTATACAATAGAATCAATGTTAATAAAAATTAAAAAGAACATTTCATTCCCTTGTTTTGTTTAGACATTTAGAATTCTTTTTATACTTAATTAATAATTGTTTCTTTGCTCGATTTTTTAAGAAAACATCTGCTTTATTTCGACCGATTTGATATCAATCAATAAAATTCTTATGTTTTGATAAAAGATCTTATATTAGTTAGAATATAATGCATATGTTAATTATAAAATAAAGTGGAAAAGATTGACAAAGAAAGAAATTTAACAATTAAATAATGTTGGAGTCTAATCTCCGAAAATTTTTATAAATTAATTTTCTGTTAAGTTCCTTTGCATATATCTGTAAAGCATAATTATTTTTCTTTTTTTAATAGGATTATGCAATTGTTTGAATAAAAATAGATTTTTTGTTATTATATTTGAACATATTTAGGGAAAAACAATCAAAATGGAATATTTTGAGTTATTTTATATTTTATTCAAAAAGATATTATGAAGATAACATATATCATGTGTGTCAAATATATTACATTAAGTAATATAGTAATATACATATATGTATTCAATAAAATGTTTTCCTGGTTAATTGAACTTTCACGCTCTAGAAATTAGACATAAATATTTTCTCGTATATAAAAATATGAACAATTGCGTATACAGTAAACGAAAATGAAAGATATTTACTCTTAAAGTATTGTGAGTATTGTGATAAGATATTTACTCTTAGAATATTGTGTTTTACAGAATTATAAAATTTTTGAAAGTGTGAGATTTTGAAGATTCATCTTACTAATAAATTGAAACAACCATATTATTAGGCAAAAATGATTAGTAAACTTAAATTTTCTAAGTTTTTTCTTTATTACGCAGTTTTATGATATTTATGAATAGACATTTCTAAAAATACATAAAATTATTTAGAATCAATAAAAATAAAAAGATAATATATATCTAATCTAATATATATTAAGAGTTAACTTTTGTAGATATGAGATTTTAGCATAGTATGTCTCATTAAGAAATCAAAATGAACATTATTTATAATATAGACTTATAATTATAACAATCATCACAAAAATAAATAGCTTGATAAATTCGGCTTCTCTATTTTTCATGCTCTTTTTTTAAATAATACTTATAAATAAACATTTTCGATTATACTTTGAGTTTGACTATAGTTTTATTAATCAGAAAAATTATTTTTCACATTTGACATTTCTCTTAATTATAAACTTATCTCTTAATTTTATAAATTTATTTTAAGCTTAAATTAAATGTAAATAATTTTTTATGTACGAAAATACGAACGATTGTTTATAATTGGAAAGAATTGAAACATAAATCCAATTCGTACAAGTAACATTTTAAATTTTTGGAAGTAACGTCTATTAAGATGACACAGCCACTTCAGTACAATCGAATAAACTAGAATAAACACAGAATTTAGTGCTCTTTTATTGCTAATTTGTTGCACAATTTTCGAGTTTGTTGCTCCAATCGATTCAAAAAAAATAGTGGCTGTGCTAACTTAAGATTTAAGTTAGCATAGCCATTATAAAAATTAAAAAAAATACATTCTTTTTTTACTGCTAATTTGTTGCTCAGTACTCGACTTTGTTACTCCACCTTCAATCCTTGAAAACTACTTCCAACAACCATGAATCAATACATCACCTGAAAATTAATCAGATGTCTCGATTGATTACACTTCTCTGATTTTATTGCTCGCGATATGCAGTAAATTTGATTTTGTTGTTCCACCCTCGACCCTTGAAAACCACTCCCAACCACCATGAATGAGCATCTTAAAACTGATAGTTAATCAGATATCTTGATTGATTACGCTTCTCTTTGTTGTTTTACCCTCAACCCTCAAGAACCACCCCCGATTACCTAATATCAACAGAAAACCTTAAATCTGCAGAATAATTAAATATCTCGATTGATTACGGTTTCTTGGATTACGGATTTTGTTGCTCGTGCTTTACAATAAATCCGATTCTGTTGCTCCGTCCTTAACCCTTGAGAACCCTTATTGTGCTTAAGTAGTTAAGGATTCTCAAGGATTGAGGGTGGAGCAACAAAATCCGATTTATTATAAATTGCGAGCATCAAAATCAGGGACTCGTAATCAATCAAGACATTTGATTAATTTTCAGTTTTAAGGTGGTGTGCTAATTCATGGTTGTTGGAGGTGGTTTTCAAGGGTTGAATGTGGAGTAACAAAGTCAAGTACTGAGCAACAAATTAGCAACAAATTAGCAGTAAAAGAATATATTCTATATTTTTAATTTTTTTTTATAATGGCTGTGCTAACTTAAGATTTAAATTAAAAGATTATGAAACTTCTTGAAACGCAAAAATCATCAAATTTAAATTAAGAAGCAAAACAATACAAATTCATTAAAAAATTTGTGCAAATATTTCTGTGTGCATGTAACATATTTTTTTATATAACTATATTTTTAAATAATAATATTCAAGTTATTCATTTATCGTAAATTCGCAATTGTGTTTGTATTTTAAGGTATCTAATCTTAAAGATGTAATATTATAAATTAAAAATTTCTATTATATATAAAATTGAATTATTATTTCAATAATTTTTCAAATTACTAGTTACATAGATTATAGATGGTTATCTAAAATGTTGTGTTTTTTCTCAAGAATTCATGTAAATGTATTATATTAATTTTACTTTTTATTTTTATCAGTTGTTCATTTTTTCTGAAATTTATGATGTATGCATAATTGGAAACTTATTTTCGCTATATATAAAAACTTATCAATAAAACTAAAATCTTGTCTGCGGATGCTGCTTTTAAAGGATGTAAAGGAAGGTGGAGGGCCAATTATCCATAATTTTGTAGCTCGCGTAATTGGAGAAGAAGAAAGAGGGGGCGATTCGTCCCGAGTGTTTCCGTCCACTTCTATGGATCTAAGTCCTAGTCGTTTCATCGGCGATCTCTCGTTTCAGCCATGAGAGATTAATTCAATTTTGATCTAGATGCCGAGAATTCCTAGGACAAAACTATGTTGCTCTCTCCTAAATTCAGACCGATTCTCGTTAAGACTTTGCTTCCCAGCGAATCGCGATTGTAATTAAAGGTAGCGTCGTACAGCTGCCAAGATTTCGCGACGTAGCATTGAATTAGCCGTCGGCGAATTTCTTGCACAAAACTGGAGATTGCGTCGTCGGAACGCAGCTCTAGCTTTCAAATTGAAATTGTAAATCATTTTCTTGAATATCACGAAAACTGAATATTAGAAAATCATTGATGTACGATTTGCTTTGCTGTAACATAAAAACATGCTATACATTTTGAAATATATATCTGGAACTTCTAAAAAAATATTTGGAAAAATAGACTAATATTTTTTTAATTTTATGTGTAGATTATTTAAATTTCATTTAATAATAGTTTATAAATTAACATATCTTGTATTTTATGTTTTTGAAAAGATAACGTAATGAATATGAGTTTATAAATATATCTTTATTTATCTATTTTCAAAAATGAATTTTGAGCTAATTATTATTTATTTTTGGTTTTATGCTTCTAAATTATTAATAAATAATTTAGAGATGATACTTGATAATTATAGCTTTTAATATACTTTATTTTTTATTTAACAAGTTTTTATATATATGTTTTAGCTGTTAACTATTAACTATTAATATATATTACAACATTAAAAATGGAAATTTAAATATAACTGTTGGTAAATATTTGCTTATATGGAGACTTCTAATAAAAAAGAAGAAAAGAATTAAATTTTATTTGTATTTACAAAACATATATACACACACATTATTAATGTATTTTTCACACTTTATTTCAGCACACCGGCATATGATTACGCACCGAATCCCGACAAGCAATGGATACTTCAAGTTACACAGAAGATGCAACCCATTCACAAACAGTTTACGGATCTCTTAATGACAAAACGACTACAAACTTTGCAAAGCGTTGATGCTGCCGTAGATAGAGTACGCATTATACTTAAAAATTATAAAAAAATTACTTAAAAATTACTCTAAATTTAAAAAAAAATTGCTAGTCATATTTCCTAAAGAATTGTCTTCGATGAAAAAATGCTAGATGTTTTACGTATTATATTTACATTAATGTTTATCTTATTACAGATTTATCAAGAATTGAAAGATCTAGGTGAATTAGATAATACGTATATTATTTATACATCCGATCACGGATATCATTTGGGACAGTTTGGACTTATAAAAGGCAAGAGCTTCCCATTCGAGTTTGACGTACGAGTGCCATTCCTCATTAGAGGGCCTGGTATTGAACCTGGATCCATGTAAGTCTCTCAATGCTTATTTACTATTTTGAATATTCATCGTTATGAAAATTTAATTGCATCAGAAAATTATTATTGATTTTGAATCATGAAAAGTTCGAAATGTTATTCTCATAAATTATCAAACTGAGGCACAAAAAATACACAACGCGGAAAAAAGCAAGTAGTATTTTTATAAGATTAAATCGAACTTTTCAGAAAATGTTATATTCTTGGAAAAATAATCTTTAAAAATGGAAAGAACGTTGCAAATTTTTAATTAAAATTTTAGATTGATCTTATCTGATCGATTGTAATTATATTTAATTTCAATTCTAATAGATTATAAAAATATTAATAAAAAGATAAAGGAAATATAGAGAAAAATAATATTCTGTATTTCTTATTAGATTTCTATTCGCATTTAATTCTGTAATTAAATCAGTTAATGACTCACGAGATTCATATCATCAAATTATAAGCCAACTTAATTATCTTCTTTCCTTAAATAAATATAAACTGGAATAAATAAATTAAACTAATAAAAATAAAAAAGTGTTTATCATAACAACACTGTAATAAATTTTGTAACCATCTTAATAACTTGATTAACTTGATTAACTTGATATCTGTCCAACATTTCCGAAAATAACTTAACATCAATAAATGTCGAGAAATCGATAAATATTCTTTGCATTAAGTAGTTTAGACACTAAAAATACAACCATACGGCTATAAGAAGTTTATTGGATATATGAAGCACAGTGCGGTAAGATCATTATATGCTGTTATTCGCGAAACTTTTGCGTGTTGGCTTTCGCTCGCGGAAACTTATTTAAGAACAAATAAACGTCGGGAAATATAAGGCCCGATATTGGGTCGCAATAAAGCATCCGCATAACGTTGCAGAGTAGACGACATAGTTTTGAACATCGATCTGGCGCCGACGTTCCTGGATATCGCCGGCGTCGAGACGCCGCCACAGATGGATGGTCGTTCCTTCAAGAAACTCTTTCTCAAGTGAGTACGTCGACGGTTTTTTTTCAAGTCGTGCACTTTAATCTTCAACACTGTCACTGGACTTTAAAAGCATCTAAATAACTGGAAATATATAAAAAGTAAATATACAAAAATGAAATATATCAATAGAGTATATTAATGAAGACAGTTCTCGAATGTGTGCTTACATTTTGAATATTTTTTTCTGTGCTTGCAAATATTTTGTATATCTAGAAATCTGGATAATATTTTGCTGGTAATAATTAGATGCGATTCTTTTTTTAATAAGACTTTATTTAGAAAATTCAAGGGAATTATTTTATTTTGTCCTGTTACTTGATACATAATTGCTTGAATAATTGGTACATTGACCTCGAGATCTTGATCGCTTATTACGGCACGTTATGTCACATGCACAATTCCCACGATATTCTCAGTGTAATAATTTTCAATTGAACGTTAGAGCTCAACGTTCCTACATGCTTAACTTTAATGCAGGTCACGTAACCAGATTTTAGTTCATACCGAGCTAAAATTCCTGTTTTATAACTTCATTAATTTGTCAGAACTTTCTGACTTGGTTGGATGAAGTTACATTGTTAAAGCGGCCTTTTTACAGCGTGACTTTTTGCAAGCATTACCTTATAGCGAGTTAAAATCTCCATTATATAGCTTCATTAAATTATTATAATAGTAATCCCATTATTGCGAAGCGTAATATTTTTTTTTTCCCCGTAAAGTAAACGCGCGTGCGTGCGTGCGTGCGTGCGTGCATGCATGCATACATACATACATACATACATACATACATACATACATACATACATACATACATACATACATACACGCGCGCGTGTGTGTGTGTTCAACAAAATCATGTTTCCCTGATTAAGTAAACTTTCACACTCCAGATGGAATTAGACGTAAATATTTTCTCGTATATAAAAATACAAACAATTGCCTATAATAGACGAAAATGGATCAAGATATTTATTCGAAACACTTAAAAGAAACACTAAATTTTTGAAAGTGTGAGGTTTTGAAAATTACCTATATCACACTATAAATTGAAACAAACATATCATTGGGCAAAGGTGATAGTCAACTCACTTTTTGACTTTCTCGCTTTTTTCATTTCGTGATATCTATAGATGGAGATTTCAAAAATTATGTACAATTACGTATAATCAATAGAAATAAGAAGATGACGTATCCAATATATGTTAAGAGTAAATTTTTGTGTATATGAAGCATAAATCTTAAGGAGTCGAAACGAAATGAGCGGACTATACATATTTCAAAGATGTTATCGAAGCGTTCTGATTTCAGACCGATGCTCATTTCTTTCGTTTTCTTTTTGATTATAGACTTTTGCTCAGCAAAGACATATATATTTATCTAGATCTTATTAGTAAACTATTATAAATTATTACACTTTATGTAGCCAGAAAATCTTCACATATCTCTCAGAATTGGTTAATTAAAATTTATGATCATTGACCACTTGATGCAGTCGTAGCGCATGTTTCGTTTTACAGTCTGTTTAAAATACAGAGAATTTAAATAGCGAGCAGAAGGATAATCAAGAAGGATAATCAAGAAGTTGTACAATAGAATTAATGTTAATGATAGAGATTAAAAAGAACATTCCATTCCTTTGTTTTGTTTAGACATGTAGAATTCTTTTTATTCTTAATTAATAATTGTTTCTCTGCTCGATTTCTTAAGAAGACATCTGCTTTATTTCGATCGATTTGTGTTTGATATAAATCAATAAATTTCTTATGTTTTGATAAAAGACATTATATTAGTTAGAATGTAATGCATATGTTGATTATAAAATTATTAAGTGAAAAAGATTAAAGAAAGAAGTTCAACAATTAAATGATATGATTGAGGTCTCCAATCTTCGAGAATTTTTATAAATTAATTTTCTGTAAAGTTTTTCCGCATATACACACACACACACACACACACACACACACACACATTTATTTTTTCTTTTTTTAATAGGATTATGCTAATTTGGTTTGGAACAAAAATAGATTCTTTGTCGTTATATTTTAACATATTT